AGCCAGGACCAGACAGCTTCCAAGGCTTGTCTAAGATCCTGTGACCTCTAAATGATGGCGCCTCATTCAAAGTCTAGTCCAGCCCAGCCCAGGGCCCCTTCTGCTAGAATATGAGTTTCCTATGTGGCTTCACGAGGACTTCGCATCAAGTCCCCAGTGGTCACTAGTAAGATTGGTGACCATCGTGCCAAATAATTATAACAAAGGCTTGTGGAGAGAAAGGGGCAAGAGGATGTGTTGGGACACACATCTCTTGGCACAAAAGAAAAAAAAGATCACCATCTGTTCTACCACCCTGACGCCAACACTGTCGTTTGTATTTTTGGTCCCACCGCCATCAATACGCTCACAGTGGCCACATCTGTGCATGGACAGTCACTGCAATCATACTGGACTCAATGAAGATTAACATAACCTTTCACATACGTTTATATCGCCATATCTTCTAGCTGCATAATCTTCATAATGATAGCTTCTGCTATATATATATATATATATATTTTTTTTTTAGTTGGGGTCTCACTCTGTTGCCCAGGCTGGAGTGCAGTGGCATGATCGCTGCTCACCACAGCCTCAACCTCCTGGGCTTAGGTGATTCTCCCTTCTCAGCCTCCCGAGTAGCTGAGATTACAGGCGTGCTACCACACCCAGCTAATTTTTTGATATTCTGTAGAGATGTGGTCTCGCTATATTGCCCAGGCTGGTCTTGAACTCCTGGGCCCAAGTAATCCTCCCACCTTGGCTTCCCACAGTGCTTAAATTACAGGCATGAGCCACCGTGCCCGGCCAATGATAGCTTCTATTTTTTTATACTGCATTGTGCTGATATATCATACTTTCCTGATGAAGTCCATTGTTATGAGACTTTTAGGTTTTAAAAAATGTTTTCCTTACTTCCAATAATTCTGCAACAGACATCTTTGTGTCTGCAGCTTTCCATTACTTAGGATAAGGATATGGGACTGATGGGTTGGAGGATGCAACATTTCTAAGGCTCTTCCTGAGGCCAACCACTCTTGCCAAGGGCGTTTCATCCTTCAATGATGGCTGCCTCAGCCTTCTTGTAACCTTGCCAGCCACTAGAGGTTATCACCAAAAATAACTCTGATAGCAGATGGGACGCCAGGGTTGCTCTCGTTTGCATGTCTTCATGATCAGCAACACTGTACCTTTTCCTGTGGGCCTTCGTGCTGTTTATATCCCTCTTGTGTGGTTGGGCTTTTCTCTTCTAAGACTTCTGGCCCACGTCTTTCCTCCTCTGTTCCACGTATGTCTGGGTGCTGTGGAGGGGGGATGGCGACACAGGCACAGGGGTGCTGTGCTGACCGCTGTCAGAGCGATCCCCACCCACCCCAGAAGTGACTGTTCCAATGGGACCTTTTTGAATGCTCTGGAGAGCCCCAGAAGTCGAGGTTCTCACCTCCGAGTCCAGCACTTGCTCCTCAGTTGGTGAAACAACTTCACTGAGCCGGACAGAGTCGCTTTCGATGGCCTGGAGGACTTTCAGAAGCTTCTGCTGTTGTCTGAAATGGGATTTTGTTTTAGCAAACAGGTAGTAACAAATGATACACAAAAGGGAACACTCTAATCAAAGGTGCCACACTGACTTTTCTACCTCAGGAACAAGCAGCAATTAGAGAAGAAAGTACATGCCCCGCATAGAGTTCAAGGGCACAGGCAGGCTGGCCACTCTCCTCCCTTTGTAAATAGCTGTACAATTAGTGATGGAATCAGAGCCCAGCTGGAGAAACACCGCTTAGGGCAAGAAGGCCATCTCACCTTCCTAAGTTAAGCATTACTAAGAATCTCAAGCAGGGGTCATCTGAACTCAGGCCTGCAGGTCAAATCCAGCCCAAGGCCTGCTGTTGTATGGCCTGCCAGCTATGAATGTTTTTTATGCTTTTAAAAGGTTATTCTGCCAGGCACTGTGGTTCGTGCCTGTATTCTCAACACTTTGGGATGCTGAGGTGGGAAGATCACTTGAGCCCAGGTGTTTGAGACCAGCCTAGGCAACATAGCGAGACCTTGCCTTTACAAAAAAATTTTAAAAGTAGCTGGGCAGAGTGGCGGATGCCTGTAGTCCCAGTTACTCAAGAGGCTGAGGTGGAAGGATTGCCTGAGCCTAGGATGTTGCAGCTGCAGTGAGCCAGCCGCTGTACTCCAGCCTGGGCAACAGAGTGAGACTCTGACTCTCAGTAAATAAATAAAAGGTTGTTCAAACAAACAAATAACAGCAAGCAAGACAACTGCAAAGCCTCAAGTATTTGCTGGCCCTCCACAGAAACGGCTTGCCAGCCCTGGTCTGGAGGTCAGCCCTCTCCTGTTTCTGAGGACCCGGGCATCCCCAAGCCAGCAGTGTGACTTTGCCATCTGCAGACACACCCACATGTTCAGTTCAAGGCTGAGGAGCCCAAGACCTTAAAGCACAGGCCAGGTTCGGTGGTTCAGCCTGTAATCCCAGCATTATAGGAGGCCGAGGCGAGTGGACTGCCTGAGCCCGCGGGCTCAAGATCAGCCTGGGCAACTTGGCGAGACCTCATCTCCACAGTAAATTAAAAAAAAAAAAAGTAGCCGGGCGTGGTAATGTGTGCCTGTAGCTCCAGTTACTTGGAAAGCTGAGGTGGAAGGATCGCCGGAGCTCAGCAGGTCGAGGCTGGGGTGGCCGTGAATGTGCCACTGCACTCCAGCCTGAGTGACAGAGTGAGACTCCAACTCAAAAAATAAATAAATAAAGCACAAAGGACCTAGATGATGAAGAAAGCAGCATCTGGCAATGTGTGTGTGGCCTGTAAATAAAACTGTATCTGATGTAAAACATCCTCCCGGCCCAGCCCTCTCACACACAGGAAAAGTGTGAGCTCTTATTTCTGACCACGTGGTCCACAGCCCTTGTTCCCATCTGGGGTCTATGGAGTCTTAGAGGAACAGACGGCACTGCCTTCAGTCTGTTCAGTTTCCTTGCAATTTATAACAAGGAGCCCCGTCTCGGGGCTCCAGACGCAGCCTGGAGGGCACTCAGCTTGGCTAGTACATTTCTCTTTTGGGGGCTGCCGCAGCCCCACCTCTGGGCCTTGCTTAGTGACCAGCAGGAAGGCTGGATGTCAGCCCCCTCTCACTCCTCAGCCAGGCACTTTGCACAGTGCACAACATGCACAACTCTACATGGCGACCTTGGGAGTGTGTCTGTGTGCCAAGGCATGACAGAAACTATAGGCTCAACCTGGTATATCTTTCTAAAGATCAATTTTGCCTGAAGACTGGAGGGAAGTATTTCTTTTGCTAATAAAACCTGGCAATTTCAATAACTGCTGCTACACATTAACGGAACAGAATGCTGAATATTAACAAACTTTTACAGAAGGTCTTGCTCTGCCCCCCAGACTAAAGTACAGTGACTCAATCATAGCTCTCTGTAGCCTTGCACTCCTAAGCTCCATCTCCTGAGTTGCTAGGACTACAGGTGCATGCCACCACACCTGGCTAATTTTTTTGTACAGAAGGGGATCTTGTTGTGCTGTCCAGGTTGGTTTTAAGCTCCTGACCTCAAGCGATCCTTCCTCCTCAGCCTCCCAAAGCTCTGGGATTGCAGCCATGAGCCACTGTGCCTGGCCCCTGAAAAAACTTTTAATATAGAAAAGGGGCTTCAAAGGACACTGCTTTGGGCAACCCTCATCCCCCAGGTCAGCTGAGGAAGAAGTTCACCAATCGCCCCGTGCTGTAAGGGTACTCCCGTGAAAACCCCGAGAAGGCTAGCATTTTACACAGGTCGGGACTCAGCTTGGCTAGTACATTTCTCTTTGGGGGGCCAACCTGAACAAGCCAAGAGTCACTTGTCTGCAGGAAATCAAGTCAACTGAGTGCTTTGGGGCTTGCAGGGGTGGCGGGGCGGGAGGTTGCAGTCTAAAGGAACAGTTTTAGAGTCTGGAATAATAGGAAAAGCAAAGAAAAGCCACCCTGGGGACGATCCCAGGGCTGCACGGCTCAGTACCTGCTTCCCAGAAGGCCGATCCTGCCGATGGCTTGGCTGATGGCTTTGGTTCCCCCTGCTGCCCAGGACAGCTCCTGAGTGGTAGTCGCTGCAGCGCTGGGAAGCAGCTGTGGATGGAAAACTGATTAAACAGATGTCTGGGGCAACACTCCTGATCCAAGACGCAGTGGGGCCATGGTCAAAGGCATGCATGCACTTTCCAGGCGGCCACAGGAATGGGAATGCAAGGGTGACAGCATCTGCCTAGGACCAATGACATCTAGGACCCCTCACACCACGTCAGTTTCTGAGGATGGGGGAAGGGGGTGGGGAGGGTGTCCTAGGCCACAGTTGCAAAATGCCCCTCATTGATGCCTGTCACCAGCTCAAACGAGCCCCTGTGCCATTTGCTACACAGTAACCGGACTCCATGGAGAATTCTAGTAACATTTACTCTTAATCCTCTGAGTCTTTCCCCATCTTTTTCATTTACTATCTAAACTAGAAATATGCCCTGCCATCTATTCACAGATGATTTTAGTCGCTGGAAGTTCTGTGGGTCAGGAATCGGGTCATCCAGAAATCCTGGGCACAGGGCGGGCAGCACTGCAGGCCAGTCAGAAATTACGGCAGGTGGTAGCCGGGAACAGGACGGGTAGGCGCGACACAAAAAGAAAAGCACTTGGTGCTTGGGGTTCTGCCTGCCTACCTCCCTGTCCCACTCGGGTGCCATCTCCCCGCTTTTCCCTTCCCCCACCCCACTTCCTTCCCGCAAAGGGCTTCTTCCTGCTCCTTGATAAGGCTGGATTCATTCCTACCTTCAAGCTTTTCCCTACCCATCCACCTGGAATGCTGTTCCCTGTTGTTGGCGCCTTTGAACAGGCGGGGCTGGGCTCCACTGGCCTTCTGAGGGGCCTCTGGGACCGCCCTGTCAGAAGCTGCCTCCACCCTACACTCTGTCACCCTCTCGCCCACTAGCGCCTTTGATGGTCATCTATCTCTGAAGTCAGCCTGTTTGTTTATGGCCTGTGAGTGCTACACAACCAGGGGTTCCCTGTCTCAGCCGCCTCTGTATTCTGCACACACAGCACAGGCCTGCGTGCAGTCCAGCAGAGGCCTCCCTGGGCGTTTTATTACTCTCCTTATTTCCTAGGCCATCTTAGCTGAGATACACCTAACTGGCTTAGACAGACATAGGTAGACTATTTATTCAAGGTACTGAGATCTGTTGTTGCATTGTCAGGAAATAGAAACGTAACAAGAAATTTGAGGCAGCAGGCCTGAGTGAGTTCTGGCTCCAACTTGTGCCCTGGGGCAAGCCACTCCAGCCCCGGTGTCCCCATCTGTGAAATGGGCAGAATGACACACGCTTGGGGCGCACAGTGAGGACCCGTTCGGCCAGCGGGGGCCGTGTGCATGTGTGGGACCTGGCTGTCACCAGCCCTGCACTGACCTCGGGGCTCCCTTCCTCCTCCTCCTTCAGTAGCCTGGTGCTCGGCTTTGTGGGTGGTCCCTTGGCATCCTGGAAAGATGTAAGCATGGGACATGAGGTCAGAAGAAAGCCACCCACACCACACCCTTCACCACAGATGAGGGCACGGGGGGGGCGGGGGGGACCCTCTCAAGGTCTCAGAGATGTCAGCGGCAGGGACAGGGACGGAGCTCTGGGAAAGTGGGCAGGTGCTGCCCGATGAAGGCCCAGAAGAGTGGCCCCGAGACAGAGCCTAGGGAACGGTAGGGGCCCTGGGTGGGGCCCTGGGCTTGAGCAGGCAGACCTCGCCACTTCCCAAGACAGGACGTGGGCAGGTGACCTGCTTCCCCAGTACCAGTGGCCATGCCTATCAAGTGGGCAACAAAAGCAGCCCTGCCCCTGTCAGAGTCACCATGAGGGGGCAAGCTAAGCAGAGTTTTTCAACAGGCAAGTCAGAGACCTTGCTTCTGAGGAAAGATGTGTGTATTGAGGTATGTCCTGGGCCTCCAGTGCCCCAAGGCCCAGGCTCCACCCACCATTTATCCTGCTGGTTGCTCAGAGCTGAAGGCAGCAGGTGGACATTTAAACACCTGTAGGCCCAGGGAGGTTTCGAGAACAAGTGAAGTGGGCTGGGGATGGACAATAGGGAGTGGTGAGGACTGTGGAAGCCTGAAGGGCTAGTGCTCTGGAGTGCGAGGCCTTCCCTGGGAAGCCAGAACTCGTGGTTTACTCCAATCTTTCACTGACCCATCTGTTTGCAACTCTGGTCTAAGGTACCCAGAGTCTGCAGGGAAAGCAGCAAAGGTTGGAGGCAGGCAGATCAGCCACCGGGTCAGGCTTGCTGGGGGAAGAATGGGAACCCGGGCATTTCCCCTGGACAGGGGACATGTAGATGGCTGGTCAGGGATACCCGCTACGCCTCCCTCCTCTCCCATATGCTCTTGCATGGCTGCTTCCCCTGCCGGAGCGCACCTGCTGCGGACTGGCAGGCGGCTCAGCCGGTCTGCTGAGCATCGCCCTCTGCAGGGCCGCATTCTCCACCTGGATGGCTCGCAGCACAGCGGAAGCTTCCTCCTCTCGGTCCTCAGCCTCGCAGACGGTTTTGCGGGTTGCAGACAGGGGCCTCTCTCGCCGGCTGCCAGGTCCTGGGGGCAGAAAACAGGAGGATGGTCCTTCAGACTGTCTTCTCAGAGTGCGGCTCAAAATCCCTTAGACCTAGAGTGAGGCGCATTCTATAAAACAATGGGCCTGTGCACTCCCAAAATGTCAAGGTCAAGAAAGACAAAGCGTGGAGAACTGTTCCAGATTACAGGAGACTGGGCAGCTTTTTTTCTGTTTTGTTTTTGCATAAGTAACAAGCATTGCAAAGTTTAAGAAAAAACACCCCTGTTTAAGAAAAAAAAAAGTATTGCAAAGCTGTAGTCGATTCTGGAAGATTCCATGAATAGAGAACTAGTTTTATAAGACATAAAGTGATATGCAAAAATCACCTAATAAGACTGGTTTAATGATTATGGTACACCCATCCAACAGAGCGCTATGCAGGTGTAAAAAGAAAAGAATACTAAATCATCTGCAGATAAAGTGATAGGAAGACTTAAATTTGCCTCCTAATAATCTGGATAATAGGTAAAGATGCAGATAAAATGCAACTGGCCATAAACTGATTATTGCCAAGGCTGGATAAAGGTCATATGAGGGTCACTGCAGCTTCTCAATTATTTATGTTTGAATTTTTTCCATACTAAAAAGTGCTCCACTAAGATATAGAACTGCTCAAAATATTTCTATTGGGAAGCTTCAAGAGGCTTTACCTACTGAATCTCATCCCTTGGGCAAATATTTCTGTGCCAGAGTGTGTTCTTGGCGGTGGGGACCCAGCAGTGACCAGAGACACCAAGCCCCCAACCCGCACAGTGAGAGACAATATGCTGGAGAAATGAATACATAAAAGACATAGAGTGTTAGATGGTAGATGACATGAAAACCACGCAAAGGTTTTCACCGGGATGAGGGAGCTTCAGCGTGCAGGGCGGCACAACGGGTCCCGGGGAAGATCCAGGCACCACTACAGTGGGAGCAGTCGGGTGCCCGTGGGGCTGGAGCAGAGGGAGCAGGGGGTACAGGTTGAGATGAGGCCTGAGGGGGTGGGGGAGGGCAGGTCACACGGGCCTTGGAGGTCACTGTGAGGCCCTTTCTCTGAGGGAAATGGGGAGCCCCTGAAGGACTCAGAGCAAGGGAGGGCTGGGTCTGGCTTGGCTGATGCGTGGAGGAGACTGAAGGGAGGTGAGGGTGAAAGCAGCGGGACCAGTTAGGGGAGGCTGCAATGGGTGAGGGGACACAGTGTGGTCAGATTCTGGATATCTGCTGGAGACAGAGCTGCCAGCCTGTCCTGATGCTTCAGGTGGGAGAGGAAGAGAGGGGGTGAGAAGGATGATTCCAAGGGGTGTGGGAGAAGGAGGTGCTCTCAGTTGAGCAGCTGGGGAGGCCGTGGGAGGAGGAGCTTTGGAAGGGAAGAGCGGGACCCTGTTTGAGACAAACTGGGCTCAAGACCTGAGTCTGGCACCAGAGCAGAGCTACTGAGTTGGCCTGAGCACACAAGGGCCTGGAGTCTGAGAAAGAGATGTGCATTTCACATAGGCAACGGATTGTATCCTTAACAGTAATACCAAAGATTGGCATTAGTGCTGACCTCTAACAAACCCTCTGTGAATTTACAGGTATGACCTTTCAGGGGTTCTACACAGACAGGGACCTGGTGCAAGGCTTGCTGAAAAATAGCATCCTCCCATCCCCACGACGCTGGTAAGCCATCGGCTGCTGATTATTAAAGATTCCGGTCAGAGCACTCGACCCTCCTGCCAAGCTCTTATCAGAATGTCGCATCTGATTGTTCAAGCAGCAATGTCAAGAATGGCACTGGCAGGAGAGGGCAGGAGACACACACAAGCTCCACAAGGGCTGGCTTCCAGCACAGCCAGGCCCTGGGCCGATGGGGACTGAGGGTTTTTACGGGATTGCTAAGCTAACAGGCAGGAGTGCCCGTTTCTGCCAGGCACCCAGGAATGGGCTGGAAATGCAAATGCCCCAGGGATGGAGGGAGGTACTCAAGTGACACTGAATGCAGGGGCCCAGGGCCAGTGTATAACGTGCCATCTCCCAATTCTAGCCAGTGCTCACCACATAGGACTGTGCTCCTAGTGTTGCCAAATGCTTTTGTTTCCTCAAGAAAAGCTAACATTTGAAATCCCTTGGATTTTATTTGTTCACATCTTCTTCCAGTTTTTAAGAAATGGTGTGGGCAACCCCTTCAGGTCCCCTCCCACTATGGGAGCTTTTCTGTCCTCTCAATAAATCCTGCTTAGAAAGAAAAGGGCGGGGGGAGGGGAAGGAAGGAAGGAAAAGAAAGAAAGAAATGGCGTGGGCCAAGTATGGTGGTTCATGCCTGTAATCCCAGCAATTTGGGAGGCTGAGGCAGGAGGATCACTTGAGGTCTGGAGCTTGGGACCAGCTTAGGCAACACAGTGAGACCTCATTTCTACAAAAATTTTAAAAAATAGCCAGGCTTGGTGGCTCAGCCTGTAATTCTGCGCCTTTGGGAGGCTGAGGTGAGTGGATTGCCTGAGCCCG